CCAATGGTCACAACAAGAAGAAAAAAGTATCTTCCCTCATGTCCATGGATAGGAAAACACCAAACCATATACCCATGTGAAGTCTTATGATGTCATATAAACCCCTTGCCCATCAATTTCTGGCACCCCTGTAATTTTATGTAAGTCATATGGTCCCATTATGGGCCTGACCACCTTATGAGTTTTAAGAAGGGGTTACAAAACAAGGAACTAAGTCCAAATTTTTACCCTTTTCTGAGGTTACAGTGTGTCCTACTAATTTCCATGTAATAATTACATATACAAATATACACACACACACGTGTTTACTAATACAAACACATATACACATTCTCACAATTTTACTCACAAGAGGTCAGTATCAACTATGCATAAGGCTTTTTCGTGGGTAATTAGCCTTGCTTTTCTGTCACTGGCAGAGTCCTTGTTCATGACCTTATTTTACTCTAGTGCTAAAATGGAGTCACTATTACAGATACCTTTTTCCAGACAGGCATACAAAAGACATGATTAAAAGAAGATCTCTTTCTTTTTAAACAAAAAAATTTACTCTCAATTTTGTTCTCTGGGCTGTTTTTTAAGCTCAATCTCATCAATAAATATTACAACAGCAGGTGTATTTCAAGCTTGCAGCAAACCAGAAGATACTTGCTGATTCCACTGTCACTGCAGACACAAGGGTTCAGGCTTTATGTCATTTTACAAGATTGGTATACTATGTATGTTATACCCTCCAGCAACCTCTTCTGTTTCTTTTCACATATTGCCTTGTAAATCTTTGATAATCAGATAATTTTGACCTCTGATGCTCTCTGATGCATCTTGAGAATGCTCCAATGATGCATCTTGCATAATGATGCATCTTGAGAAGGTCTGAAGCCATAGTGCAAATGTCCAGAGGAACTGATGCACTCTCCCTCCTCTTCAGGAGGCCCTTGTGCAGTACAATCCAAGCATTTTACCTGCTGTGCAAGTTAGCTGGTGGGAGGTTATCTGTACTCCTGCAGCAATAAGAAGTTTAGAGCATAGAATTAGGAGTGATGGGAAAAAGACACTTGAATCAAAAGGACAACACGATGGCTTCTACCATAAGGCTACAGGTTGAACTCCACCAAGGAGAAAGGAGTGCTGTCATCCATCTCCCCCCGATGGATAGTTAGTGGCCCAAGGAAGAAGGGCTAGAGCACAGAAACCGAGTTATCCTCCAGCAACTAAAACTGAGAATCCCCAATGGCAGGGTAGGGAACATTTCACTGTTAGAGCAGGTAATGTCTCTCCTGTAAATAAATGGAAAGATATGGACATAAGGGTAGACGTATACATAGAATCATAGAATCATCAAGGTTGGAGGAGACCTCTAAAACCATCAGGTCCAACCATTAACCTGCCACTCCACTGTTCCTAATTACGTGTCCACAAGGAATTTTAAATCCAACAAGAAAGCTACATTTATAATTAGTTTACCCTACTTTCAAGGGCTTGACTTGTTCCAGAACAAGAGCCTGTACACAGCTGAGGGAAAACATGTGTTTCACTTCGAATGCACTGCAGCTTGTGCAATATCATGAAGATATCACAGAAAGTTCCAAAGCTTGACAGGGATGTTATCTTCTCATGACCATTAACGGGAAATATTCTTTATTAATCACTTTCTGGGTTTTTTTGCAAAAGGAAGTGACTATGCATTTTGCGTACATAAGAAAACCACAAGCAATATAAATTACCCTCAATGTCCCTGAAAGTCCACTCAGATATTCCAGCTTCCTTAGTTCCAGTTGTTCTGATTGCGCTACATCTTGTACTATGAAAACCAAAACAAAACCCCCAGAAATTTGGCCACTAAGAGGACAAGCAGTCCCAAAGATTCTTTATGGAAAGAGGCAGAGCTAAAGGGTGCACAGTGAATGAGGCAGAACTCCTATAAAACAAAACAAAAAACATACAACATCCCATCACTAAGGATTGTCACAGCTTCACATTTCAGAGCATTTCCTAACTTTTCCATACACGACTGCAACTCAAATCCACCACACTGAAACTGCTCTAGCCCTCTAACTCTTTCAAGCAGTGTTTGTTGCTACTTTGGCAGCAGTGTGGTCTGGCACCATAAAACCTCCGTGTCTGGTTAGTTAAATACTCTTAAGCCTGCTAAGCAACAGAAATCACAAAAGGGAG